CAATATACGATTATCTCTTTCTCGATTGGAAGAACCAAAAGCTGCAATTTTCAAGGTTTTCCTTTGATCCTTGGAGTTCGGTTTGGAGTTATCTTCTTGATGGTGATTCAAAGGCCGAGCAGAACCAGATGAGTTCGACATATCCAGATCAGTTCTCGGAGTCATTTAATAAACGTGGATCAAGCTCAGCAAATCGATAGAAGAAGCTTCCACGAGAACGGAATGAACCATTGATATAAAGTACTGCTTCCTCGACAAGTTCGCCGATGTTTTCTTCTTTCTCGCCGGTGGATCGAGTTTTGCTCACTGTTCCGATAAATGCTTTCTCGAGTACTGATTGCTGATTCCACTTTTCTTGGGTCTTAGATTGATCGATTATTGTATCGGTAAGGAAGAGATGTCATCCACTTTTCTTGGGTCTTAGATTGTTGTTCACGAAATTCTCTTCTTCCTTTGCAGCGAAAGTGAGTCGTAGCTACATTCTCTTAATCATATCTGCATTAATATCTCTGTCTTACGAAAAAATGCTTTATGTACTTTTGACGGTACTTTCTCCACCTCATTGATGCTTCGAGGACAAAATTACATGATTTAATTATGAATTTTCGGATTCTTATTTCTTTGATTTAGACCTTGAAGGTCTCAAACAGGTAATGTATGTTCAGTTAGCCATAATTGGAATCATTGTGTTACTTACTATAAACCATTTATTGAAATTATTACAATCGAGTTGCAATCCCATTATCTTCGTTTAAAGGTATTAAGCAATACCAAGCAATGAGAAGACTCAAAATGGTTTGATTACTATTGAAGAATCAGAGTGAGTCAATACGTTTTGATGTGTTCTTAACTACCAATGAATTACAGTTTCCAATAATTTGATCTCTGTTTGCTTCAGTAAATCCGAACATGATACAATGGAAGTAGCTCAAACCGAAGAGCCAAGGATACAAATTGTTGAGATTTCAAACTTCTTTTCAGTTTGTTTCGTGGTATGCACCTGTTAACTAAAATGTTCTGTTTTTTTACTGGTATTATGTTAGTGATGTTTTATATTACTGTCCTAGCCTTTTTAGTTGATCATAGACCATTTTTGATCGACTGGCAGCTTCAATATGCAAGGAGAAGAACGCATGTAACTTACCGATCACAGAGAATAAGGTCACCAAAAGTACATTATTAAGATCAACTAAAACGAGTGTTAATTTTTTTTTTGCCTTCTCCTCTCTCGCCTTTCTGGAGCCTTGGAGTATGCAGACAGAATTGGTCTGGTCGAGAAATAATTGGTCTGGTCTCGCCTTTTAGAGGACACATATTACAATTTCATGACATGGAGAAGTAGAGAAAGAAATACGGTCTGGTCTGTAGGCTTATCCAGTTCCAGAGCTGGACCTCTTTAAGGTATATTCTTTCCTCCACAAACGCTTGATTGATTAACATATAGTGTCAAATAAGTACGAGTGTGAAGCTGGGGATATACCCAGTGACTTCTCCTACATGTCATATACACTTTAATTCGACAAGAGTTAAACCGAAAGAAAAATTTCATAGCCTACTTAAAAAAGCCAAACTGGTGTAATCAATTTTAAAGATAAGAACATATAAGTGTAAATAGGATTACTTGTGCAAGTTACAAAGTAACTTGTCGCTAGAAATCGTGTAATAAATTGTTTACACCCTTGATCACATTACTTGCGCAAGTAGCAAAGAGATATGAGAATCGTATATTGTACGTTATCATATATATTTTATACTTTTAATGCTAATTGATTATTGAATAAAATCAACTTTTAAATTATTATCACATTTATTGATTTTTTAAATAAACATTGCAATCAATTTAAATTCAAAGACAAAATAGGAAACATCATTTATTTTTTGATTCTCGACAATATAAAGATGCCTTATTGATTGCAAATCAATAGAAAGAGATTCAATCCTTCTCAAACTGGATTTTGGATATTGGAGATGAAAAATAAATTTGCCTAACGACGGTCAAGTTGAGATTGACATCCCTTCTGATTTGCTAATAGAAAATAATAGAGAAGATCCTATTGATACTATGGAAAAAAAGGTTTATGGACAATCTTTTCAAACCTCAACAGATACGGATTTGTATAGACATCGAGCCAATCTTACTCCCACAAATGATGAAGTGGATAAAATAAATGATTACATGCTTTCGCAGTTGCCATGTAACATATTGAATCATTTACTCTTATGTTCCACTAGCAATAAGAAGTCACTAAAGAAAATGATTTACATATAATTTCAGGTGAAGAGAAGGTTTACCTTAACTTGGACAGTATTATCCCATCCGATGTTGACAGAGGAGAAAATGTAGTATATCCTACAAAGTTTTTGAACAGTGTTAAAGTGCCTGGACTGCCTAGACATTGTTTGAAGCTCAAGGTGGGTGCTCCTATTGTGTGTCTTCGTAACATGGATGTTGCAGATGGCTTATGTAATGGTACTAGGCTGATTGTTACTCAGTTACTGCCCCATGTGATAGAAGGTAGAATTATAACCGGAAACAATATTGCTGGAGACAAGGTTTGGATCTCTAGAATGTTTGTCACACCACCTGACACAAAGTTTCCCTTCAGAATGCGTCGAAGACAGTTTCCAGTTACATTGGCATTTGTATGACCATCAACAAAAGTCAAGGTCAAACACTGGAAAGTGTTGGTTTGTTTCTGCCTAGGCCAATATTCTCTCATGGTCAGCTTTACGTTGCACTTTCAAGAGTTAAGTCGAGATTGGGATTAAAAATCCTAATAGCTGGTAAAGAATCGAAGCCGCAGACGAAAACATTGAATGTTGTATACAAACAAGTTTTTCAAAATATTCCGTAGTTAGGGTACGTAATTTTAATATACTTTTTCAAATATTTTTTTTTAATATATAAACTGTTACAATTTTTTTTTTACAAGGAATTGCAAGATGGGTAGTGATGAGTTACTAGACCCCGATTTTATTTGATTACCATCCAGCTTTCTGCCTATTTGTATGACAGTATGTCATTTAATATTATTTTCGGTTCAATAAAATTTTGAAATAATTTTATATTTATCAAATAATGTTATCCGGTCCAGTAGCTTACAAAATCTAATATATTTTTTGCAGGTGTCTAATGGATTTGGTTTTCTTTATCGAGAATTTGTACTTCATAAATTTATATTATTTATGGATAATAATTTTAATTTTATTTATGAATAACATTTATGGATAATATTTTGAAATTTATTATATTTTCTTTTAATATGTCTACTTAAATTTGATGAAAAAATTAAACATAATACTATTATTCACCTAAAATTAAAAATTACAACAAATATACAATACAATTCTAATTACAAAGGATAATATAAAATTTGTTACTTTTAAAATTATACACTATTTAGAAGTTGGATTTTGAAGGAAAGTATCTTCTTAAACGCACTAATTTTTTTGGGACTTTGCAATTATACATATACACAATAACTGCCTCTTGATAAAGTTACTTTGTACCATCTTTTCTAATGGCAAATATTGAGTTCTGGTTTTTTTCCATGACTAAAACTTTCTCCAAATGACGGTAGTATAATGATATACAATCCGTTACTTCTAAAGTTATACACTATTATAATAATTTTTTGAACTTTCTTATGCCCGTACAAGGTGCAGACCGGTCACCTAGTCATATAATATAAGCAAAGTTCCCATAAAAAATAATAATCAAATCATTGAAGCTAAAAACAAATGTTAACTTAACTCAAAACACTTAACAAAGTTAAAATCCTTGCACGAAACGTGAGCTAACCACTTGCAAAAGTAAATAAATCATTTGATTGAAGGTAACGTCGGAATCTTTTCTTCCAAATTTTTTTTTTTTTACTAAAATTCTTCCAAAAGTCTTGCAAATTTTATATAGGTTATTTGAGCTGTTTTTTTTTTAAGGTTATGGTATCAACACTTCAACAGTAAGTAAAAAAAATGTTATTCGATAATACCAAAGAGAACAAAACAATAAGAATATTAAAACGAATTTGTTATGCCCCACGTAAAATTCGTTATGCCCCAAGTGTTTCTACGAACATTTTCCAACATGCAACTCTCTGGCAATGTGGGCATAACAATAAGAATATTTTAATGTTATGCCCACCTAAATATTAAAACGAATTCGTTATGCCCCAAGAAACAATATGAAACCGTAGAGAAACAGAGAAGAGCATAACTGCAGAAGATGAAACTTTGAAAACTGTGAATAAAAAGTCAAAACCATTCTAATACACACAATCATTCACACGCATTACTTCCATGTAAACATCTCACTCAAATCATTACCAAAAGTCAGAGTAGTCACACAAAAGCATAATAACATATCTGACCAAAATTCAATACATCAGATAAGCTGATATTAACCCTCTCATCATGATCAAAATATAAAATCAAGCGGAGAATAGCAATAACCTTTGATCAATGTCCCTTTGTGTATCTCTAGTTCCTCAAAACCTGAGAATTATCTTTGGGTGTTATGTGTGATGATGTTTCATTGGCTACTTCCGGGCCGTTCTTCCACTTCATTTGACATGACTGGCTATCTCTACAAGTAACTACAGGTAACTCAAACAACAGTTTTACAAAATGAGAGGAAAGCTCAGCTCTGTTCATAATCAAGAAAGAACGAACGACAATCTCGGTCTTGTTTTTGTATATACACGTCAAACACTAAGTCTTTGTTCTCTAGAATAACATTAAACACTCACAAATAGAAATGGAAATGGAGGGATTGGACCGCAGATCGGACCCGTTAAAGCTTGCTGCAGGGTAGGTTTGGGCCAGGGGTTTGTGAGCCCGTAAAATAGCGGGCCTAGCGGGATGGGCCTTCGCGGGTGTGGGTTCAGAAGTGAGATGACCTATTTGTACTGTAGGTAACCCTAATGTCCTGCACACCCTTTCTTCATTTGCGTCCGCCACCTAAAAAACCAAAGGAAAATGAGAGAGAGAGAGAGAGCAACATGCGACTCATATCTAGGCTTGTTGCAGAAGAAGCATATGTTGATCGGGTCTCTGAAGGTGATGTAGCTTGTGTTGCTGGAAAGAAGCAAGGAAGCAAAATAAAGCTTATCAGTCTTGTCGATGAAACTGATGGTTCTGATATTAAAGTCACTCCATCAACCCAAACAACCAAGCCTCGGAGACAGACTACTTTTGGAACAACCTCGAGGAAACCGATGTTGCGATCCACTATAGATGGTGGAATTGGCTCATCCGCACATGTATGTAGTAAGGAAAAGTATGTTCCTATGAAGTCTGTGATTCGTGGCGGGAGAAGAAAGGCTGCAGCTACTCAATTGCTAAAGAAGAAGGTTGCGCCTACTAAGTCGCAAAAGAAGAAGGAGAAAGCCACAAAGGACATACCGGACTTTGACTATGAACTGGATGAAGAAGGAAAGGGAAGAGAGGCAAAGATCAGATGTGTGGCCGATTTCGAGTTGTTACATAAACCCAATGAAAGTTGAAAGCTGCATGCAATCATTGCAGGAATGAGTATGCATGGCAATCCCGTTAACATGGAACCAGTGGGCTGAGAAGGCATCGTGAGAGATGTAAAATGTATCCAAGGAATCGAGGAAAGCAACAACAACTCAACCCCGAGGGAAAAGTTGTTTCTCGCAAGTATGATCATATTGTGTTTAGGAAGATGGTAGCTAAGACAATAGTCCAGCGTGATCCACCTTACTCATACGTTGAGTATGAAAACGTGAGAGACACATGGAAGTATTTGAATGCTGATGTCCAGACCATTTGTCAAAACACAGCGAGAGCAGATGTGTATCGATTATATGAAAGTGAGAGAGACATACTGAAGAGGGAATTAAGGAGTCTTCATGGACAAGTATTTTTGATGACTGAATTGTGGACCTCAGTGAAATGGGAAGGATACATGTGTGTGACAGCACATTACATTGATCGGAATTGGAAGTTGAGCAGTATGATTCTGATGCTTTGTGCTCTACCACCACCACATGACGATATGAAAATTGTGGTTCGGCTCCTTGATTCACTAAAAGAGTGGGGAGTTGATAAGAAGGTATTCTCAGTCACCTTAGATAATTCTACAAGTAATGACTGATGCAAGATATTGTGAAATCCCAGCTGAATTTGAGAGATGATTTGTTGTGTGACGGAGAGTTTTTCCATGTTAGATATGCAGCTCACATACTGAACCTTTTAGTGCAAGATGGGTTGAAGGTTATTGGAGACTCTTTGAACAAATTAAGAGTGTTAAGTATGTATTAAGATTGGAAACACGTGAAAATTTATTCCAAAACTGTGTGGATGCAGCGGTGTAGAAGAAAGGGGGGGGGCTGATACTGGATGTGCCGACAAGATGGAACTCAACTTACTATATTTTTAACTCCTCTAATATTTTTTTTAAACCTTATTAGGATTTCTTTGCATTTTGAAAAGTCAGTGGCGTTGTAGTGGAAAGACACCTCTAGAATCTTATCTTGATGAACCACCGTTGAACATTACTAATTTCAAGAGCTTGGACATCCTCGATTGGTGGAAAGATAATGCGCATCCGTATGGTGATTTGGCTGCAATGGCATGTGATTTGCTAATTATTCCAATCACAACAGTGGCTTCGGAGTCGTCCTTTAGTATTGGATCGCGAGTTCTAAACAAATATAGGAGCCGCCTACTCTAGAAAAACGTGCAAGTTCTGATATACACTAGGAATTAGATCAAGGGCTACGAATCTTATGCACATGGTAAATAACTCGCATTATAATTGGATCAACTCTAAATCGCCTCTCTATATATCTGGAGGGCGTATAGCTGATCTGTTGGCATAGTATTGATCTGCACGATTGTAGTCAGCCAACGTTCTGGATCGAGCAGACTCATCTGCCGCTTCTACACCTTCTGCAGTTTCAGTATCAAGCTTAGGGAGTAGAGTCCCCTGAGCATCTATCATTTGACTTGCTGCATTACGAAGATGACCTTTTTGGTCATGCAGGTTCCCATCCTCATCATGTCTGAGAATCAGTGTTGCAACCATGTCTCGCGGCTCAGTATCGACCGATGTCGTGTGGAGAATGTTAATCGACGGAAAAGTAGTGTCGGTCGACGGTGGAATGCGAGTGTTGGTGGACGGAAGAATGGTCTTGGTTGATGGTGGTGTGCGAATATCAGTCGACGTACTAGTGTTTCTGTTGATCGATGTGGAGCGTTTTTCCTTCTGAATAGAACGTTCCAAGCATACATGATCTTCTGAGAATAGCAGTGATTTTCCTTGTTTCTTCTGGTACTGCTGGGCATGCACCTAAAAAGACAAAGAAAATTTTTGAAATAGAAAATAACTTAAAGAAAAAGTAACCTAGACTTAATAAGATTAAATCTAATGATGATCAAAGCTCTCCAGTGACGGCGCCAAATTTGATCTCACTCAAATTACCCTAAGGAGTGACTTTACTCTCTCAAATAAGAGGTTCAGTTGTAGTACTTAGGGATCGAGTCCACAGAGAGCTAGGGTGTCAAAATACCTAATCAGAATAATAAAGCTAGGTTGAATATGATTAATAATAAAAGCCAAGTTGAACAAGGTAGTTGTTCGGTTGGTTGATTGAGGTTTATACGTAACAATATGGGAAAGTAGCTAGACTTAGGGTTTCTATTCATGATTATAGAGATTAGATTCTATCAGTTGTTTGCATGATATTATATAGCTCAACTTATATGAACTTATCAATCAGCTCTTGCATGTTTAGACTCGTCTATTGTCTAGATCTAATGATCTTAACTCTTGCTTGTTGATCTCTAGAAGTGTCGATCGATGATTCTAGAGGAATATCGATCGATACACCTTTCGCTCTGTCGATCGATTATTCTATAGAAATATCGATCGACGCGCTTCTATCAAGCTTTGCGCACGGGTTGATTATGTGCTCACTAGGGTTTAAAATCAGCTATCCTCTGTTTCTAGCAATCCTAGTTCAATCAGGATCTATTCAGAATAAAGACCACGCTGTCGCTTGCGTGTAACAATCCTATTATCAGGGTTCTAGTTAGCTACTCTAGAACTCAGCATTAAGACCACCTCCAACGGAGGGTCTAGTGAAGGTGTTTTGAGCAAAAGAAAAAAAAAATAAATAAAAAATGCAGTAAAAGAGAAGACCCGGTATCAAACTTGGCACTTTCAGACAACCTAAACCCCCTAGACGTGGCACTTTTTTAATGGCTAGGCTTTAAAGAAAAAGGGAAAAAAAGTTTCTCATCTCTCTCTTCGCCAGTCCTGTCTCTGCATGTTCTTTGGTGAGACTCCTCCTCCTTCCAATCCGTCCAAGAAATCGATCGATTCCTCCTCCGAATCCGTCAAAGAAATCCGATTGACTCCTCCTCCGAATCCGTTAGAGGAATTACCGTGGAGGTTGGGATTTTTTATTTTTGTATTGATTGAAGATTGAGAATCGATCTAATTCTGTACCTCTCCTCTCTTTCTCTATCTTACATCGATTTGTTTTTTTGATCAGATTTGGTGGCATCGACTTGATTGACATGGTCACAGACAGATTTATCCTCGCTTTGATCTTAGACTTCTGTTTTGTATTGATTCTTTCTGGTCGTGGAGCATAGATTCTAACTCGTTGCCTCTGTACAGACAAAATAACTTAACATAAACTGAAGAATTGCTGTTGACTAGTTGTTAAGCCTTTTGTGTAGATTAAGAAACCCTATGGAGTTCTCCCATTGGAGGTCAAAAATATTAAGACACACTAACCAAGGTTCTTAAACTTTCAAAAGCCCATTTTAACTCTTAAACTAATCTAAAGACATCCATAAGAAGTGTCTATGGATAGACATGCTCTAAGGGTCTCCTATTGATGAATATCACAACTTAGCAATTCTATATTTGAGGTTAATCCTTCATAACCTATATGAACCTTAAACCTAACAATGGAACTACTCAGACATGGCTAAGAAATTTATAACAAAAGAGAGAATAGAAAACTGCATAGATAGATAATAATGGAGTTCTAATAACAAGCTTTGAAGAAATCTTGAATCTCCTCTCCAATCTTACTAAAAACCTTTGTGGTGAAAACTTAGAGAAAATAAGAAAGTACACTTTGCCGTCAACAATAGGCAAATGAATAAATACTAGATAAAAACATGTTAGGAGCAATCTTGTAATTTGGTGGTGTCTTGGACTTAAAGTCGTCTGGAACCAAGTCTAGTATCTTCGCGCACTGACAGTCGATCGAGCTGACACAAGGTGTGCATCGATCGATAAGTGACTCTAAACGTCGACCTCTGGTTTGCTTGATGGTCAGCTCAGGGGGTTTCTCCTTTTGTCTCCAAAATGGTCCAAAAACATCACTTTATTTCAAATCACTCCTGAACCTATAAATATGCTGAAAGAGTCTAAAACGTAATAGTTAGGTGTTTAAAACATTTATCAACCATGGCTGAAAGTGGGTAATATCAATAGCCTATCAATCGCCTGATCAGAGAGTTTCATCTTGGTTAAGGCTTTGCGAAGCTGTTTTTCAGAGTTGGTGTCGTCCTTATCAAAAATGTTGCAGCAGCGTACATCATAATGACCATATCTACCGCAGATTTAATAGGTTGGTTTGGTATTAGAACCTGACCCTGAGAACTGCTGATGAAAATCATGTTCACGTGTGGAATAACCTATTCTTCTGTATTTACATGAAAAGCTGTATTTATTAGTTTTTAATATAAAAAGTTGTATTTATTGCTCGTGATATTTTGGTATGAAAAGTTTCATCGATTAGTTATGTCTTTCCAAATTTATATATATTATTTCTTTTTGTCAAACAAATTGTTTCTTCCGCAATTCGTTTATTTTGTCTTTCATTTAGATTTTGTCTCTTATTATATTCGTGACGTGGTTTTCTGTCCACGAAATTGGTTAATTGAGAAGGGGTAAAGTAACGAAAGATGTTATTGTAAAACCTTAAAATTAGATGTCAGAAAGAAAACAAAAAACAACAGCGGAAAATGTACAAGGAGGCTTTAAAAGATGTTTCTTCTTTGGAAAAATCGTATTAAAGATTTCATATTCCATCGTCTTAAGAGTTGAGTACATTTTTTGTTTTGTTAGGAACACATTTTTCTGGTACTGTCGTCGCATTAATAATCTAAACTATTAGAATAGAAGTACAAGTTTTAATTACCACTTAAACCTACAATCATATGCCACTAAAGTAATTAACAAGCCTAATGTCAAGTATTTTTTGTATTTTCCTTATTTAATTAAATTAAAACTACTACTTCCTATAATCTAAGCTAAGCAACAAATTTACCACATTTTGTTACTCTATTCAATCAATTAAAGATAAATTTCTATTATCCTAAGTGCTTTTATGTTGTAATTTAATCATACTCCTAATTTTGATTGTAAAATATTGACAAACACACGTCTGATAGAACAAAAAAAAACTTGAAGAATGAGTAATGGTTATTTACATTGTCGTTGTTGTTGTTGTTTTAGTAAACTCAGTCTCATGCTCTTAATCGTGATGATGATTTGAATTTTGTTGAAATATATCGTAATTAGACATATGCAATAATAATAATTATTATGCAGTTGAATATAGAAAAATACAGTATTGTTTTAAGACTACATACTTATATTCTTTTCATTATTTACTAGTACCGGCCCGCCTTACAGACGGGATATACTTTACTTATAATTTAGATTATTATTTTTATATGATTTTGTCGTTTGTGTTTTAAGTTTACATTTACAAAAGATGTATAAGAGATATATTATTTTATTAATTTAAATTATTAGTCAGTTTGTTGTAAGTATTTTTTGTTATGAACTTTTGATTTTCTAGCATCTATCATAATTGAATTGTTATGCCATTCTCTCTTAGAATAATTTATATCTAACAACTAATGTATATGACTCTTTTTGAAGTGACGACCTTTGCATAATTTTCCAAAAAAATTCTCAATTTTGTAGAGACACTGGTAATCAAAACATTAGTCATCCAGTTATGTTGGAATTGTGCCACTAAAGGAATTTAATTGATATTCGTGTACACCCAAATATTTAAACGTTTCAATTAATGTTTCATTTTGGTGGTGTAAGTAGTGTAATATGTAGGTCTGGGCAGTCTACCTATTATTTGAATTTATTGTCATTTTACAAAGTTTTCTTTTGTTTTCCCTAATATTGTATAACAATTGTATTAATTATTTATTATTTTCGTTATATCGAGTTTAATGAACAAAGAGGAGAAAAGTGTTGTGAGATTCATTGTTTTGTTAGCTTATGTTTGATAAAATGTGTAAAATAATATCTTTAAAAAAATATACTTTTGCTCTTGTAATTTTCATATTTATTATTGATATTATGTTTTTTTTTATAATATGTCTTTAAGTATTTTGATTATTTTATGTATTATTATCAAATATTTATGGTATTATTTGTTAGATTTTGTTATATTTATTTCCAAGCAAATTACTGAAAGATATTTTACTGATTATTATATGTTAATTGTTAGTTATATTTTTCATAATTTACACACAAATAAAAAAGATTCTGTGAGATTCACTTTTAAAAAAAATATTGTTTTTGTCCGCATGAAACTGAAAAAACCCAAAGATTTAGTTTCTCTGAGGAAAATACTTTAATATGCGTCTACGGCCCCATGAGATCACCACGGGATTGACTTCTAAGCTTACTGGTAGAAGAGAACTCCTCCTGCATTCAGTCTCCTTATCAAAATACACATGTGTCCCGGACGTTGAACGATCTACACAGTGAACCAACCGATGAGGAGATCATGATTGTGAATACAGATAATGGTTATTATAAACGAAATAAACTCAATACCTCCAATCATCTTTTGGTTTATGCTTGTAGCAACAATAACTTTTGGATCACCGCAGATTTTTTTGGGTAAATCTCGAAAATAGTTTTCTTTTAAGTTTTTATCACAAAATAAGACCTCAAAAATTAACATGACCAAAATAGCACTTTTTATTTTAAAAATTTGAAGTTTTTTTTTTTTTAAAAAAATTTGAAACCATATCCCCAAAATCCCACTCCTCAACTCTAAACAAAAAAATCTAGAATTAGTTAACCTAAGGGATAAAAATGTATATTTAATAAAACTTTAAGTGCTATTTTGGTCATTTTGATTGTTAAAGTCTATATTTATGATTAAAACTTTTTTTATGTCTATTCTAGTCATTTTCTCGATTTTTTTTGAGAAAATACTTTAATATGTGTTTTCTAATGATACTCTGAAGAAAATACTTTAATGTTTAGTTTCTCCACAAAAATTGTTCCATTCCAATTAATTTGCTATTTTGATGAATATATAAAGGCAAGAAAAGGTTCACAATTAAAAGACCAACATACCTTGATCAGAATGGCTACTGCAGTGAGAAGCAGAAATCAAAGAAGGATCATGTGGACCGAATGTAGATGATTGCAACTCTGCTGGCTGTTTAGTCACAACATGCTGTGAGACCTGAGCAGGAATTACATCTTGTAAATGGTTCTGTAGACACAGATACAGGTGCATCAACTTGTTCTGAACTTGCTTTAGACGTCTCAGGCTTAACACCATCCTCGGAGAACGAAGTAGACTTGGAAAGAGGATTTTTCTCTGCAACTCCCTTGTTCATCACAGAGAAATCGTTTTCCACTTGATGATTGCTTGCCCAACTTGTAGGACCAGAAACCCTGCAAAAGGTACCTTTAAACTCTAATAACATACGGATTCAACATAGAGAGACATAAGGATGAAACGTAAAAATATCTTATCGGAAAAGGTGCTGTGGGGTTTCTTGCTCGGTTGTTAGTATTAGGAGGAGAATTTCTAGAACCCCTCTGCTACATGATTAGCTCCACTCTCCCTTTAAAGGATGCATTTCTTCCATTGCATGCATCAGAATGTCAACATAAAGCTTAAAAACAGTAAAGAGAAGTACAATTCTCATTCCAAGCGACCAAATAAAAGAAATCAAACTACCATGATAATTGTTAGTAGAAGCGAAGTTCCTCCGACCAGTTCTGGCACTTGCTTGGTTAATTGGCACTAAATTCTGCAGACATAAATCAATTAGATAATGAAAGCTACAAAGAACACGTGATTATAAGTGAATCCATAGCATTCTGTTAAATCTTAAAAAAAAAAGCAAAACACAACTGAATTAGAAAAGACTAAAGAAAACAACACTACAGATTACGGATTTATTAGGGAAAAAAGAGAAGACTTGCCTCTTTCTTCTTGTCTATTTTGCTTTTCACCTCATGGAAGGTATCTGAAAAATTATAATTTACACATACCCATCCTAAATATCTAACATATCTGAATATTTTGCAGCTTGGTCACCACATACCCATCCTCATCAAGCTCAAGCAGCCCATTCAAGAACTCCGTTGCCGTCTCATGACCAATCGCAAAGAAAAACCCAGACACTTTCAAATCAAACATCACCAGTAACAATGTTCTTCACCTTCAAACCACCAAGCACGTATTTCCCGTTCTCATCTCCATACGCCTCCACCACCGAAGAGTTCCAAATCACTTCAATCTTAGTGTTCGACAACGCCCTCTGCTGCATGATCTCCTACGCCCTGAACGTATGTGGGTTATATAAACCTTAGATCCATACTGTTGGGATAAACTTGAAAGAAGCTTGAGAGAGAAGCAATCCTTATCTTAAGGAGATAATGTTGAAGTGAAGAGATAAAGATGAGAATATTCACTTATGAGAATAATATTAGGATAAGGATTGTAAACATCTATATATAAAGATGTCGAGAGATTGAGATTAGAGAGAGACATTGTGATTGTGAGAAGCTTAAGTTTTTGAGCTAGTTTTCTTAAGCAATAAAGAGAAGTTATTGAGTTTTTATTCTTAAAGCTTTGAAACAATATTTGGTATCAGAGCTATGGGAGATATCGTGGTCGCGAAACCGAAAGAAGGAGGATCATCCTCGATTAAGTGTCCTATCCTTACGACAACCAACTACACCGTGTGGTCTATGAGAATGAAACTTTTACTCAAGGTCCACAAGGTTTGGGAGGTTGTTGAAACTGAAGTAGCAGATGATGAAAAGAGTAATATGGCCATGGCTCTTATATTTCAATCTATACCTGAGTCACTGATATTGCAAGTTGGGGAGTTATCAACTGCTAAGAAGGTGTGGGACGCAATTAGGATGCGACATGTGGGAGCTGAGCGAGTTAGAGAAGCACGTCTACAAACTCTTATGGCGGACTTTGATAGATTGAAGATGAAGGAGACAGAGACGATTGATGATTTTGTTGGGAAGCTATCTGAGATATCATCAAAGTCATTAGCACTGGGAGAAGAGATTGAAGAAGCAAAGCTTGTGAAGAAATTCCTTAAGAGTTTACCTCGTAGGAAGTATATACACATTGTGGCTTCACTGGAACAAGTTCTGGATCTCAAAACCACAAGCTTTGAGGACATTATAGGACGTCTGAAAGCCTAAGAGGAACGAGTACATGATGAAGACGAAGAAAAACCAGAGGATCAAAGTAAGTTGATGTACGCGAACATGGAAGGTCAGCAACAGACACGTGACTTCAATAACAACTATAGAGGCAGAGGACGTGGAGGACGCTTCTATAGCAGAGGAAGAGGTCGTGGTAGGATGAATGGACAAAGAGACATGTCCAAATTGATTTGTTTTCGCTGTGACAAAGCAGGACATCTAGCATACGAATGTCCAGATCGCTTGCTCAAGCTACAAGAGTTGGTCCCAGAGCCTGAAAATGTTGATACTCAGGAGGCTGAAGAATTGATGATGCATGAGGCAGTGTACTTGAATGAAAGGAAAATTGTTCCTGGTAACTTCAAGGAAAGAGAAGGTGATGATGATGTTTGGTATCTTGACAACGGGGCGAGTAACCACATGAGTGGAGATCAAAGATATTTTTCATACATCGACAACTCTGTTGCTGGGAAAGTTAGATTTGGTGATGACTCGAGGATTGACATCAAAGGGAAAGGATCAATAGAGTTCATAGACAGAAACGGTGAGCCTAGGAAGTTGAGTGATGTCTACTTCATCCCTGATCTCAGAAGCAACATAATCAGCCTTGGACAGGCAACAGAAGCTGGATGTGATATAAGAATGAAGGGTGAGCAACTCATAATGCGTGATAAAGAAGGAAAGTTGATAGCCAAGGCAGAAAGATCTCCAAATAGACTTTACAAGGTTCGTATGAGAATTAAAGGAGAAGTGTCACTTCTCTCGTCAACAACAACTGAGTCTGCTAAGTGGCATGCTAGGCTGGGTCATGTGAATCTAGAAACAATCAAGTCAATGAGTCAACGTGAACTGGTGATAGGAATGCCAAAGATTGATGTTGAGAAGAAGGTGTGTGGTTCATGTCTGTTGGGGAAGCAAACACGTCAAGTCTTTCCTAAAGCTACTGTGTACAGAGCCACTCAGAAACTTGAACTGATTCACGGTGACTTATGTGGTCCAATCAGTCCAGGAACAAGTGCAGGAAACCGTTATGTATTCGTACTTATAGACGACTATTCAAGGTACATGTGGACGTTATTACTGAAGGAGAAAGGAGAAGCATTTGACAAGTTCAAGCACTTCAAGAGTATGGTAGAGCAGGAAACAAAGGAGCTCATTCAGACGTTTAGAACAGACCGGGGAGGTGAATTCGTCTCAACAGAGTTCAACATGTTTTGCAGTGAGTCTGGTATCAAACGTCACCTTACTGCTCCGTATTCTCCTCAGCAAAACGGAGTGGTGGAGAGACGTAATCGCACATTAATGGAGATGGCTAGAAGTATTCTAAAGCATATGTCAGTTCCAAACTATCTATGGGGAGAAGCTATCAGACACTGCACTTATTTACTCAACATAATAGCTACGAGGGTGATTAAAGATCAAACACCATACGAACTCTATCGTGGGAAAAAGCCTAACATCAGCCATATCAGAGTTTTTGGTTGTGTTGCTTACGCTAAGATTGACTCACAAATGCTTAGAAAGTTGGATGACAGGTCACGTATGTTAATCCATCTTGGCACAGAACCAGGATCTAAAGCGTATCGTCTACTTGATCCTGGAACTAAGAAGATAGTGGTGAGCCGTGACGTGGTCTTTGATGAGACAAAGGGATGGAATTGGAGACGTGATGATAATGGAGAAAGAAACAGAGCCGGAGAATTTGAGATCACAGTTGGAGTTTTTGGTAATCATGGGATTCAAGAGACAGAACAGAGAGGCAAAGAAGAAGATAACAGAATCACAGATGCTGATAACGAAGCTGTTACTATTAATGATCAAGCAGCTGAAAGTGAAGATGATGAAGCAGAGGATCCAGAAGAACAGATACAACTAAGAAGATCACAAAGAATGACATCTAAGCCTCGATACCTTGAAGACTACGTTATGTTTGCAGAAGAGGCAGGAGAACTAATGTTGATGAGCGTAAACAATGAGCCGTACAATTTTGAGGAAGCAAAAGGATGCAAAGAATGGATACAGGCTTGCGAAGATGAGATAAAGTCTATCACTAAACTTAAGTGTTGGACTCTTGTTGATCTTCCACAAGGAGTGAAACCCATAGGCTTAAAGTGGGTCTTTAAACTGAAGAGGAATTCTGATGGGAGCATCAACAAGTACAAGGCTCGTCTCGTTGCTAAAGGCTATGTACAACAGTATGGGGTTGATTATGAAGAGATCTTCGCTCCGGTTGCAAGAATAGAAACAATACGGTTGCTGATTAGTCTTGCTGCATCACATGGCTGGGAGATACATCATTTGGATGTCAAAACTGCGTTCTTACATGGAGAGTTAAAGGAGACTGTGTATGTTACTCAACCTGAGGGTTTTGAATTAGAAGGATGTGAAGGCAAGGTGTACAAGTTACACAAGGCGTTGTATGGTTTAAAACAGGCACCGAGAGCATGGAATGATAAGCTAAACAGAATACTACTTGATTTGGTGTTCACACGATGTTTGAAGGAGCCTTCGGTCTATCACAAAACCGTGAAAGGAGATCTTCTTGTAGTTGCAGTATACGTGGATGACTTGTTTGTTACAGGAACAAACATGAGAGTTGTTACTGAGTTTAAGAAGGAGATGGCAAATACATTTGAGATGAGTGACTTGGGAAAGCTGTCTTACTACTTAGGAATTGAAGTGTGTCAACATGACAAGGGTATAACATTGAGCCAAGAGCGATATGCTTTGAAGATTCTAGAAGAAACTGGTATGAAAGATAGTAACTCAGTGAGAATACCTATGGATGCTGGTCTTAAATTGGAGAAATCAGAGAAGGAAAGGGTGATCGAAGCAACAAGTTACAGAAAAACAGTGGGATGTTTCAGATACTTGCTTCACACGAGACCGGATTTGGCGTACTGTGTTGGAGTCTTGAGCAGGTATATGCAAAGTCCTAGAGAGTCCCATGGAGTGGCGTTGAAGCAGTGTCTCAGATACTTGCGTGGAAGTGTGTCTTATGGCTTGACATTCGAGCGAACAGCTTCTCATGAAAGGAAACTTATAGGCTACAGTGACAGCAGCTATAATGTAGATCCTGATGATGGTAGGAGTACAACAGGGCATATATTCTATCTTGGAATGAGTCCCATCACGTGGTGCTCTCAAAAACAAGAGACGGTGGCTCTTTCTTCATGCGAGGCTGAGTTTATGGCAGGGACTGAAGCTGCGAGACAGGCAATTTGGCTTCAGGATTTGTTAGCTGAGATCTTGGGAGCTGCAGGTGAAAGAGTAGTAATACGCATTGATAATCAGTCAGCTATAGCATTGACTAGAAACCCAGTGTTCCATGGTCGAAGTAAACATATACACACTCGCTATCATTTCATTAGGGAGTGTGTAGAGAAAGGTTTGATTAAGGTTGAGCATGTTCCTGGCAATGAGCAAAAGGCGGACATTCTGACAAAGGCTCTTGCAAGGATCAAGTTTACAGAGATGAGAGAACTCATAGGAGTTCATGAAGTGAAGAAAGAAGCTTTCAAGTTTAGAGGGGAGACTGTTGGGATAAACTTGAAAGAAGCTTGAGAGAGAAGCAATCCTTATCTTAAGGAGATAATGTTGAAGTGAAGAGATAAAGATGAGAATATTCACTTATGAGAATAATATTAGGATAAGGATTGTAAACATCTATATATAAAGATGTCGAGAGATTGAGATTAGAGAGAGACATTGTGATTGTGAGAAGCTTAAGTTTTTGAGCTAGTTTTCTTAAGCAATAAAGAGAAGTTATTGAGTTTTTATTCTTAAAGCTTTGAAACAATACATACTTGGTCAAGAAATCCGCCTCCTCTATTGCTGAGTCTCCGCTGTTGATAACCGCTACGATCGATTCCGGAACGTGTCGAAGATGTCGATGCGAGGATGCCTTCAGGGAATCCATACTTGGTCAAGAAATCGAATCATTTACATCGCCAGTGAGAAAACATCACTTTAGGTCACGTACATAAGGTAAGCATTTCAGGCCCAAACCAAAATCACAATCTGGCGTGGACTTGTTGATGTAGCATCTGACGTGTGGCATGCCTAAAATGGAGAGAAACACAAGTTTATATAATAGACT